GATAGATTTAGGTATTTAACTAAATATGTGTAGGATGACTACACAAAGGGCTACAAAATATAATATTTTTATTTGTTTGATTTTCACTAGAAAATAAATGAAAAACATTTCCGCAATGGGGGAGAAGTTCGTAGGTCGTTTAAAACAGTGATGTTATTAAAATTTTGACTTTTTTTTCTCCCTGTTCAGTTCAGACTGGAATTCTTTTTTGTTATTCATTAGAGGTGTAGCAATACACGCAGCGTATGAGATAAGACAAAATGCGATGTTGGGGTCATGATAATAACACAGGATCAGATTTTAGAAAACGTTTTTGAAAAACAAACAAAAAAAAAAATCTGGTTTTACTTTACCAGTAGAGTAAAGGCTCCAGTTGTATATAATATTCAGTGTACAGTTAAGTCCTAAATCATTGAAGATCTAAGTTTAATAGCAAACTTTTAATTTGGAAAAAATATTTCTTTCTGACTGTAAAAAATACAAATGTTTTAGAGTGGCCCAACAATAGTACTTACATATTTCTGACAACAGGTTACCAAACCACTTCAATGTGGAAGGAAAGATTTTTATCTTCTGGATGTTCAGATCTGAAGTACAAGTTACAGGAAGAGTGTTTTACCTATATTCACCTTTTTACAAAATACATTTAAAATATTGACACAGTAAAATTCTGCACATCAATTCAACTTTTCATTAATTCATACCTCAACATTAATAGCATTGACATTTCATCCCTTCTTACTTGTTTCTTGTTGAGAACAAACCATTTTATACCCATGTACGTAAAGTATGGTGAATAACTATTTTATTTTTTTTCTGTACAAACTTTGTTTAAAGGTGGCCACCCACCCTCAAACATCTGGAACTGCTCAACAAAGATAAATTGTCAGAGTGCAAGTGAGCACAAGCAAAAAAATTGGGGGTTAAAAATGTACTCTGTACATTGTTTCTAACAGGAAATGAGACAGACATCGCTCCAAATATATTAACACTCGTTAGTTGTACGGAAATCATTTTAAATCTAAATTTGCCATGTTTATTAATGGAGGTAGGCAATATGAGTTTAAAATTTTATTACAATATTTTGTGGTGCTGTTGTGACATCGACAAAAGTGCCGATATTACTTCTTTTTTCTGGGCACAGCAATCGTAGCACCACAAACTGAAAAACATTCCCATTTGCAATGTGCCTCTTTTGAAAACCAGTAACTTCATTTAATCCTATTTTTAAATTTATTGATATTTATTGATACCCTCATTGAAAACAATGGAGAAAATAATAATAATAAAGAAATAGCAATTCCGTCAATACAGACTCTTTTGGAGGTTTTAAACATCATAAGTTGGAAATTATTGTGAAAATATTAATTCAAAATTCTTAATATAATAAATTACAAATACATGCCCAACCCAGTTATTAATATGATATATTAATTATTAAACTCTGCCAATAAAGCTTATTCTCATTTCAATTCATCAAAATAAAAACTTAAAACGCTCTAAAACACTTTAGCTAAGTATATGGTTTTTAACTCCTAACGGTGGGAATCAAACGGCAATATGAATTGGCCAAATAATCGCAGTAAAGGATGAAATCTGCAGCATAAATTGCGGATAATCTTGTGATCCCTTGAGTTTGTGATGGATTCAAAACTGAGACTTTATCAGAGAATCTGTCGCGTTTTGTTTTTGTTTAAACAAATGACTTTTTACGCTGTGCAACCAGATTTTTTAGCATATTTTTTTCATACCCAAATCTTCACATGTAAATTAGTTCTGACTAGTCGTAGAAAAATTGTATTCAACAGTGCAGTTGCACCAGATTTTACAATCTTTGAGCTAAACATATATGCTACATGATTAAACACTTAGTTTATTTTCAACATGTTTACTAGAATTTTTCTTCATAAATAGTGAAAATACTTTACTGTACGGTAAGGGTGGAAGGTAGGCCAAAAAGGTATACAAATACATTTTCCCTCTAAGATAAGATTCCCCTGCATTAAAAAAAACCCAAACATTTTCTAAACAAATTTGAAACGTTTGTATTCAGTTGACAAATTGCGTCAAGCATAAATGACATTTCTTATGTTGGCATGCTTCAAAAAATTATACCTAACTCAGAATTAATTTTGTTTTTTTGAGTAACACCAAAGCTTAGTCCACATTTTCTACTTAACAGGGATAATATATCAATATTATGACATTTTTCAAACTCATCAAAATGATCAGTTTATCTTTAGCAAAGACTTAATTTGCAGCAGTCAAAGTAATTGTAAATTTTTTTCACCATGGTATTGCTTTCATCAACATCTTCTACATTATATACCTGTAATAGAAAAAAAATGCAGTCTTCACGGTGAACACAGAATGCGCCCACCGCTGAGAGCGGTTCACCTTAACGTGTTTTATTTGGATTTAAAGAATGCTATTTGAAGGTCACAGTGGTTTAAACGTGGTTTAGACCCTTACTGAGGTTTTGCTGTGTTCGTGTTTGAAAATAGAGACATAAACCGACATGTACTCATTCTGGTTTTCCTGCCAAAAATAAACTGATACAAGGTCTGTAGTTCAACTGTAACTCTTGACAAACTGCAGCAGGTTGAGCAGACAAACCAAATTGAGAAATGTTTACTTACTGTGATTTAGCATTAACAGCTATGTAGTTAGCATGTACTAGAGGAGGCGATTATTCCTGTAGTTCACTTTCGCTTGTATGGTTGTCTTCAAAATGCCTTATTTGCACATTTGTAAGGTGAAAAGTGGAGCTGTATTAAAAAGTTGGTGCTCTATGGTGATTAAAATATTCACGCTGAGCCTTCACCGTCTACTGCTCGCATCTGCAGGTACGATGTGGTTGACCAACAACCAAAAAAACCCCATCGTTTTTAATAGTAAGGTGGCTGAAGATGGCTTCAGTGATAATTTTATTTTCAAACATTGAGGCTAACCACTTCGCTACCATTCTATTTATTGACATCACTATTTCTTTTTATACTTTAGTTAATTTGTGAAGCTGCAGAAAAAAGAGGAAAGTGAAACTGGTGTATCAGACCAGCAGTGTAGAGCTAAGCTGTGTAGAATGTGCTTCACACATGGCCTCTCTCTCTCACTCTATCTGCTTTGGCAACTCGTCTGCACTTTCTAATTCTTTGCAATCTACTGCCACCATATCGCCCAACACCACCACATGGAAAAATCAAGAGATTCGTCGTGGTTTTACGTACAAGGGTATGGAGTGATTTATTTACAGTTGGCACAAAATGGTGGGAATAAATTGGCTTAGGGATAAACTGATACAGAGCCGTTAAAGTCCTTTAAAAGAAAATCAGATTCAGAAGATCCCAAAGAAAAATGGAAATCAGTAATGTTTAAGATAGACATTCTCAAGGCTGGTCTGTTTGGTGCACATGGTTAATTTAAACTTAATTACAGAGCCGTAATAGCGAGAAGTGTATGAAAATGTCATGGTTAAGGATTTTACTTTGAGGCGTCCTTTTGTCTTGACCAACCGTGCATTTGTGGTTGTTTGCTGTGACACAGAATGATCCATCTCAGTTTAGAGTGATTACCCTCTGCTGTTAAACACGCCATTACTTGTCCGCATCAATTAAGCCACATGAGAAGCACATTTCAGGAAACACACATAGGTGCGGTGAATTCAGAACTTCTCAGAGCGGAGCGTGTGGATTCGGGGTGACCAAGTGAACCGAATCCTTTATGTTTGAACATCTTCACCTTTGCTGTTCTCCAAGACATTATCCTTCACGGCATGGAAAGAGCTTCTCCTCTTTGAGGCACATCCATTGCCTAAAATATATCTGCTACCTTACCGCAGGAAAATCTAATATAGATACATTAATTTACCAGACGTGGTTGGGTTCTTCTTTAGAACTTCTCGAGAGCAGTGAAAGAATAATTTGTGTCAACACTAATGTGCAGGTCTGGTCAAATCCCAGCCCCATTCTGGATACTCAGCGGCCCGGTGTGGTTGCTGGCATTTCAGAAAGAGAGCACTTCAATTTAGTGTTGTGGCAAATGGAAGTGGAACCAAATGTGTTTTTTTTTTCACATTCAATTTACCCCACACACAAAGAAAATATATATTTAAGAGTGTCAGGTCAAACTGAACCCACATTAATGATAAGTGTGTAATTTCCAGATACTTTTAAAGCTTCGCTGGTTGTAGTACTTTAATGTATTCTGAACAATGTGACATTAATAAAAAGGAACGAGTCTGAAAATGATTTTCCTCCTGCTCTTATGTATTTTCCCAACTTGCCTGACTCTAAGTGATGTGTTAGTACGCTGTGGTTTATCTTACACCGTCTTTGTTGCCAATTTTTGGGGTCAAACATTTGCGTGCTAATGCGTTTGCCGAGTAGAAGAGCGATTGTGTCAGGCTTTCTTGGCGTCACCAAACCAGCACGTCACATGCCTCATGCTGTTGAATGCCTTTCTTGTGATTTCCAGTGAAAGCCTTGCATGTTTAATATTTGACTCATCTCTATTATATTTCAACCTAAATTTGCTCCACATCTGTATGCAGTGTTACACAGGCGTCAGTTTGGACTAAGGAAAAACCTATCATGATTTTGATTTGTTCAAAATCATTCTTTAAACAAAAGGCCACCCTTGAAATTTTGGAGAATGTAAGATTTTTTTTATTTTTTTTTTTTTGACAAGGGTGTGGCTTTGTTATCCTGCAGTTGAGAGAGAGATAGAGAGAGAGAGAGAAAAACTGGCACCAAAGGCAAAATCATTTTCAACCTTGATTTGTGATTTTGAAGTCATGTGATCACAGAAACGTCCACTCGCTTTGCCGTAAAAACTCTTCACACATCTGTTGCAGCACGTCTGTGGCAGATATTCCTGTTACTGTGGCTCTGGGTTCATTAAGGGAGTGGCAACATCGACAGGCAGAATGTGGCATTAAGATTTGTCTTTGTCTTTTCTCCCCCCCTCTCTCTTCCCCTTCCCCTCCTCTCCAAACACTGTAGCAGAGGAACACATGATTTGGACAGAGAAGACTGACAGCCTTGCCTAGCACCAGGCCACTGATCAGCCATCTCCACCAGCAAATTGACCCGCTCTTCATCACCAGCCTCACAAGCATTTTCATTTAAAAAAAAAAACAAAACATCATCTAACTGTGAGTAATGAGGCGACTTCATTTTTAATTTTTTTTTTTTACATCATTATTTTAATTTTGTTTAGAAAGTAAATGTGCTCGTAGTATGTCATTTAATAATAGCGCACTACTTTCTGGGTGAGATTTGTAATTATTTATTTAAGTGTTTTTGACACATATTGTGTAAAGATAGTTATGGTAAAATTCTGCCGAATTTTCACGAGCCTTTTTTTCCATTTTTCAGTGTCACAAGTAGGATTTTTTTTTTTTTTTTTTTTTTTTTATTACTGAGAAGTATTTTGGAAAAAACTCGGCCAAAGATGACAGCTTCAGTTAAAAACTGCACAATACTTGACAAGCATTACATGCCAACTAAATTAATTTTGTAGCAGCTTTAAATATCTCAGTTTTCCACTTCCTCCCTATTTCATTTGGATTTTCCTTTTTTTTTTTATCTGCTCACTGAGGGGGAAAAAAGCACATTAGGTTATCTCTGATCAGCTAGGGCACATTTAGTGTATTGAAGGGATAGTTAGAAAACGGCATCATCATGAACACATGGCTGACAAAAGAGGCCTGTTGTCCTTTTAGTCCAGTGCGCCACCTAAAGGCTGTTTTAGGCACTTCAGAATAACGCTGAACAGGAGCGCTTAATAAGAGAACCCTCCTAATTGTTCTTCGCTACGTTGAACTATAAGTTTTCTACATCATGCATAGTAATAAGCAGCAACATTGTGAATGTAAATAAAAACATTAATTTTTTTAGACATACTGTTTATGTTGTTAGATTTATTTGAATGATAATTATTTAGTTTGTTTTACTAGAACATATATCTATATATTTTTCTTTCTAATGTAGGTTTTTGTAAACCTGGCTGGCCAACATGTTACTGCCATGTGTAAAAGGTAAACATTTTCTTGGTGAACAGAACAAAAAGTTCCTTTATTTCAGTAATTCAATTCAAAGCATGTAATTCATCTTACATAAAATCATTACACAAAGACTGATGCACGTCAAGTGTTTATTTCTGTTTGTTTTTGATGGTTATAAAATGGAGGCGATCAGCCTGTGGCTTTGCTGAGGTGTTCAGGAAGCCCAGGTTGCTTTAATAAAAGCCTTCATTGTAGGTCTAGTGAATTTCATGTTCCTCTTGACATCACTCCGTTGATTCTCTGTAGGGATATTTTGCTGGCCAACGTAGCTCAGTTATACCATCGTCATTAAAGCAGGTATTAGTAGTGGGCAATGTGGGCTCCAAGTCCTACCTGATAATAAAACCAGTATCTCCCTGAACCGCGTCAGACAAGGGAAGCATAGCAATCTTGAATATCTTAATGGACAGCTGCATTGATAAAGCACATTAGACTAACAACAGCAGATGACTTGATTTCCCAAATCCCTTTTCTCTTCGCCTCAGGTAAGATGCTTCTGCTGTCGTCTCCGGTTCAGGGGCAGCTTAAGACGAGGAATGTAAAAGTAGTGGCACGTCATCCATGTTTTGTAAACTCACGACCATTCACCCTCCTTTCAAATTATACATGACAAAATGTCTAATCTGACTTATGTGATGTAAACTAACCTTAATCTGCTCGTGGTTAGGTTTCTTCTGCTGCCTCTGCGTCCCACAGTCCTTGTATTACCCCTTAAATTACAGTGGTCACAGGATTGGGAGTAAAGTATATTTTTGGGGTTGTTTGTAGTATGCCTCTGTGGAGTGCGTCACTGTAGACTCTGTAGACAGACTTAAATATGTAAGTAGATTTATTAAGCAATCCAAATGCAGATTAAGCAAGCCCAAAATGTAGAGATTAATGTTAGTTCAAATTTAGAGACCGGTTGGAGGGACAAAACCAATAAAGTTTTGTCCCTCATTTTCCAACGTAAGCATATTATCGCATTCACGTGTCTTTTTTGGGTCATATTGTCTTCTTGTCCCTCAGGAATCTTCCTCGTGACTGAATGTTTTCCCGATCATTCCAAAAAGTTATTTTGTTTTGCCCAGACAAGTACATTACTCATAGCATGAAGGTCTCGATTTAGGCCTGTTGCTGAGACATAAAGATATAAACTGTTTTCAGACATTACACAAGTACCTTTCTTCTTCTCCAACCTTTATTTAAACAGGATGAAAAAAACTCCCTGGGATTGCAAGAGTGTCCTGGCAAGTGACGGCAACACAATTACAGTAATTACTTACAGATAGACACAGTGTCTTTCAAGATGGATATAGATTTGTAATAGTGGTATGGTTCACCTCCCTGCCGTATGTCTGGACATAATTTATTGGCCGGTGTAGACCGTAGACTGAAATCATTACTTGGAAGTGGCCACTGATTCCTGCCACCATCTACGTTTTGAGAATCTTCCCCAAAGTCTCCAAAGTGCTTCACTTCACAATAATCTCAAGGCTGTGGTTTTTCCTGTTCATCTACCACATAATTTCCTTCCACTCAACTTTCCATCAATTTGCTTGGATATGGCACTCTGAACAATCTGCTGCTTTACCTTTAACAGCTTATCTTCAGTGATTGACACCTTACCCATGATTCTGTAGGTTCCAAATTCATCTTTTAGAAAATATATTTCATCTTTTGAATTGAATTGCTGAAATACACAAAGTTTTTGAAGATATTCTAATTTTTAGACTTGCGCCAATTAATCGGGAGGTCCGAACAACGTTTCATGTTACGTATTAGTTTTTCAGGGAGTTTTATTGCTCTTTCTTTCCAGGTGACATCAGTTGCAAGGGGATGACCGAGCGCATTCATAACATCAATCTCCACAACTTCAGCAATTCTGTACTTGAGACCCTCAATGAGCAACGAAACCGCGGGCACTTCTGTGACGTGACCGTTCGGATCCATGGAAGCATGCTGCGAGCTCACCGGTGCGTGCTGGCCGCTGGAAGCCCATTCTTTCAGGACAAGCTGCTCTTGGGCTACAGCGACATCGAGATCCCCTCTGTGGTCTCAGTGCAATCCATCCAGAAGCTGATTGACTTTATGTACAGTGGAATCCTGCGGGTTTCTCAGTCAGAAGCGCTACAGATCCTCACCGCTGCCAGCATTCTGCAGATCAAGACCGTCATCGATGAGTGCACCCGCATCGTGTCCCAGAATGTGGGCCTGGCTGGTCCGGGGGGGTTCCCTGTGATACCAGGAGATTCTGGCCAGGAGACGCCCCGTGGCACACCAGAGTCTGGCACCTCTGGGCCCAGCAGTGATGCAGAGTCAGGCTATATGCAAGTAACATCACAGCAAAGTGTAGATCGTACATACACATCCCTGTACTCCTACCCCGGCCTGTCTCTGCAGAATGGCACCCGAGAGCGGTCCCTTTACGTTAACCCCCTGTCAGCAAATTATGATCCAAGCAATCAGAAGGACCAGCAATCTCAAGATCCGCCCTGGATAAACCGCATCCAGGAACGGTCCCAGCAGGTGGAACGCTTCATGTCCAGTGCAGAGTCCACTCACTGCCGCAAGCAACCACGACCGGTACGCATCCAAACAGGAGGGATGCACATAAAGCAGGAGGCCGAAGACGAGTTCACCTGCTACGACATGGGGGACTGCCAAGATGACACTGACCACAACGAGGGCGTGGAGGGCGAATCCAAGGTTGAAAACTTTGACTCAGGGGTCAGCTCCTCCATCAGCACAGAGACGGACACCATGGAGCAGCAGCCGTACCTGACGAGCTTCAGTCGAGACGCGGTTGGGGAAGGGCAGCAAGGCATCGAAGGAGCTCCAGTGCAGATAGAGGTCAGCGACTCGTCCCCAGAGCGGATGCAAAAGACGGAGGACGGGGACACTTCCCACAGCACTAGTGACAGTAGCATGATGCATCCCCTGCCAAACTCAGTCAAACTCAGTCCCATGTCCCAGTACATGCGCCAGATAGAATCACACACCAGCAACCTGAGGATGCCGATCACCGTGCCCAGCAATTCCCAAGTGATGGGCACCGCCGGAAGCTCCTTCCTGCCCACACTCTTCCCCACGCAGCCGTCTAGAGACCACAAGCCTTTCCTTTACCTTCCTGGCCAGCAGCAGCCCCAGTTCGTGGCAGTGCCGCCACCCGCAATGCCATCATTCCCGAACCCCATGTCGGTACCGCAGGCTCCATCTCAGCAGCAGCAGGCTGCAGGAGGGATTGGTCCGGGGGAAAAGAAGCCCTATGAATGCACTCTCTGCAGTAAGACCTTTACTGCCAAACAGAATTACGTCAAACACATGTTTGTCCATACTGGTAAGTCGAAATGTTAAAATATACATGTTGCATGCTCAATCATATAAATATTTCATTCAGATTGTAGCTGCAGACTTGGAGTGTAGCAGAATATAAAAGGTTCATCATATGTTGAAAAGAGCCATATTTAGTTTTTTTGTGAGCTGTTGTATCAGATTATGGCTTCACAGAGATCAGCAGATTGGGTTAGAATGAGGCATGGTTTGATTTTAAACCAGGTATGGTTAAAAGGTAAAAAGTTAGGTCAAAGGTCAGGTTAAAGAAGGTAGTAATTTTAAAGATTTTCAGTATACAAGTTTTCATTTCAAAACGGTTTTAAAGAGCTCGTGATTACGATAAAGTATGCCTGTATTTACACCTATATTTGTTATTTTACATATTAACATAAAAGTAAAACTAAACCATCAGAGCCATTTGGATATGTTATATATACATTATCAAAAAATTCAAAACTATTCCTTTAAAACAAAATATGACTCAGACTCAGAAACAAACTGTATGAATATCTTACCATCTGCACCAGTCACACTACTTCGATTAAATAATAAAATTGTAAGTATTTGGCACATAAACTGAATGACAGACTGATTAAGCTGCCTTATAAAATAATATTTATACGGTCGCACCTGAAAAGTGTCTTTATCATTTCTACTTGACTTTACAATGTCAGTAGAGTTCCTTCTTTAAACAACGTCAACGTCATCAATTTGGTACCGGGGAAACCATCATCACAAAGGAAAAGAATCAAATATCATATAATTAGATGGGCCCATAAAAAAGCCTTCTCAAACAACCATTATTATTCATTACAGTCCATTTCCTGTCCAGAACCACTCGCTTTGGAGGCTACTGACAGAGCAGCATACGGAAGAGATGATAAATCATGGATCGATCACTCAACAAGATTAAATCTGAATAATCTATGGCAACCAAGGATTAATTATATTTACAAATTTTGTGAGAAAGAGGTTTTCTATTAGGTAAAACCGTGTTTTTAAATTGAAGCTTTCCCCATATTTTCTGCAGCAAGCAGCACATAGTGGAATAAACAAATTTAAACAAAGCTAGCTCAGGTTTACTTAACTTCTAGCTTAAGGTGTTTCTGCACACAATCCTGCAACATAGTCCATATATAGAGACTGCTGGCAACATTTCAGGAGAATTAAGGGTCAAAAAATGGACTTGACTCTCTTCCAAATCACTTATTTGCTCATTGTTTTGTCTTTAATAGCTTGATATAAGCTTTTAGAAAGCTTGATATACACCCTACACCATGAGGATGCTGAAATCCTTCATTAAAAATGACCGCACCACACAGATTTTGACATTTCAGTCAAAGCCCTCATCAAGTTGGCTGTTTACACGATGAACAGATGGAGCTAAATTAGCTCTAGAAACGAAGATGGGAATAGAATGGGGAGGTTAAGATTTGCACAGTTTTCCCAGGAGTGATGCAAATAGTACGCTTTTTTTTCTCTCTAAAACTAAAGCATAATTTTAGCATTGCATTTGGAGTACATTTAGACACATGGCAATAGAATAACACTGAAGCATGTTCAGATGTAATTGTTCAGACACTGCAAATGAGTACTCCTCTCTAATGTGCAAACCTTATTGTTTCTGGTGGTGGTTGGGGAGGGGGCTTCAGTCTCTTAATGCGTTTGTGTTGTGTGCACATCCAGGTGAGAAGCCTCATCAGTGCAGCATCTGCTGGCGCTCGTTCTCCCTGAAGGATTACTTAATTAAACATATGGTGACACACACAGGGGTGCGCGCCTACCAGTGCAGCATCTGCAACAAGCGCTTCACCCAGAAGAGCTCGCTGAACGTCCACATGCGGCTGCACCGTGGAGAGAAGTCCTATGAGTGCTACATCTGCAAGAAGAAGTTCTCACACAAGACCCTGCTGGAGCGCCACATGGCCCTGCACAGCAACGCCAGCGCCATCACGGGGCTGTCTGTGAGTGTGGGCACCCCGGGCCCGGTCTCCATCCCAATGCCGATAGCCGTCCCCGAGCCCGGAGCCGGAGTTGTGGCCCTCGCCATGCCAGTGAGCGGCGGCGCCGGAGTAGGGGCCGGGGTTGGAACGGGAGTGGGTGTAGCTGCCGAAGCAAGCTGCCAAGAAGGGACCACCTACGTGTGCTCCGTCTGCCCTGCCAAGTTCGACCAAATGGAGCTCTTCAATGACCACATGCGAATGCATGTCTCCGATGGATAAGTACAAATTTAAAGAAAAAAAAAAAAAGAAACTTATTTCTGAAAGAATGACAAATACAATGGCACTAGATTTTCCTTTTCTTATTTTGAGGTATGAAGAGTAATGAGTATAGACACTGGCACATTAAGTTTCCCCAAAAAAAAGTTTTCTTTTTTTTTTTTTCCTGTTATTCTAAAAGAAAAAAAGATGGTGGCCTTAAGGCTCAGTGGTTTGATATTGATCTACTGGATGGATCCAAACTACGGGCCTCTAAATGTATGCTTTCCTAAAATACTGATTTATGTGTTGAACACTACCGAAAGGCCTACGAAAGAAACACATACACACAAACACACCTTTAGTCTAGATACGTCTGAATGACTTTAAATGAGCAAATATGTTTGAATGTTTGTGATTTTTGCATATAAGTCTGTCTCTTTTATTTGTCCAAGTGTGTGCGCGTCTGCGCGTGTGTGTGTGTGTGTATTGCTATGACACATGAATCATGGCAGTTGTGAATCCATATTGACCAGTTTGGAAACATAGATGTCCAAGCTTACTGTGGTATAATTTTAAACAACGATAACAATAAAAGACAAAAAACTGAAGAAAAAAAAAACCTGGGGTTGGGCTACATATTCCCTCTAAAAATACTGATGGTCACAAGATTGCCTTCTTCTATCAAATAAAAAAAGGAGAGTACTTAATTTGACACTGGGTTTTATTTATTCCTGTGGTATTAAGGGATTATAATGCAGCTGTTGTCAAGGTACCAATTTTAATTATTTTACTTAATTGTAACCTCCCGTCCAAAGCGATGGGGAAAGTGATTATTTCTCACCTGTTTTATGATTATTGTCCATGAATTTTGACGGTCAAGATAACGTTTACTAAATTTTTGTGTGTTGAGACAGTATTTGAGCAAAAATATGTTTCCTCTTTTTTTTTTTTTTTCCTGGAGTTTAGAGTTTTACTCATTTGCATACACTGCCTTTTTAATATCCTAAGACTGTTAAGGCTACTTAGATTTCTTCCACTGCAAAACATACGAAAAAATGGAAGAGTCTTCTGCTGATGGTTGTGTGTGTGTTTTTTTAGCCTTTTTCACAGTTAAGGCAGGCTGGAATATGGGACTAAACTCTCTCCTTCATAATTGCTGCTCCTCAACCTGCACCCGACTGTTATGGGATATAGATTTAGAGGAAAAAAAAAAAAAAAAAAAGGATTTGTCACTTCAACTATTGTTGTTATTGAGTAGCCTGTTTGGTTTTAATCTCATAATTGAATTACAGTTTCGCGGGGAGGGGGTCGGACGGTTGCCGATTGGATCGGTGTTGTGAAAGATGGCGCAAATTAATTTTGAGTCGGACTAAAAAGCAAAATAATTGCCGCCCTGAACCTAGAACACCTGTGTAACCTGTTCATTACGATTGCGGAGCTGTTTCAGCAGGTGGGAGCTGAGTGCATTACTCTTCGTGCATTCTCTGTCTCTCTCCCTCTCTCTCTCTCTATCTTTCTCTCTTTCTCTCGCTCGTCGAAGGCTCAAATGGCATGCAACGTTTTGAAAGGAAATACAGTCTGAAAGCAAAACAAGTAGCTCCCATCAATCGATAGCACGCTGTTTCATGATATACCACAAGCTGCAGATGGACTGTGTGGAAAAACAGCATACATTCCCAATTTTCCCAAACACCAAGACACAGCATGTGTAGAGTAGATGTGGAAGCTTGTGTGTTCATGTTGTCTCATTCATGCATTGCGCTACTTAAAGTTAATTACAGATATATTTTTAATTCTTTTACATTGATTTTTTTTTAATCCAAAATAGGTCTCTCACACACATGTGTTTATATATATACACACACACACACATACACACAGAAAAACACATGCACACGTGCAACTGCCTGCAACTGCAACCTGAAGGATTTGCTTCTTTTAAAGCGAGCAAACACTTTCAGTAGTTGTACGATAAAGCGAGTAACTAACTGCATTCAGGGAAGTCTTCAAAAGACCTCCTGTCATTTCAGAGAAAAAAAAAAAGTGCTATTTTGCACATTTTCTTAAAATGCCTGTGCTTAATATTTAATCGTTTTCCTTAAATGAACTTTCTTTTATTCAATTTCAAAGGAAAAAAAAAATCTTTTTTTTATCTTGATAAGTGGACTGCATTATTTTCTTGCATATATGTTGCACTGCTTAAACCAATAAGTGCACTACTGTTAACAGAGATATAGTTTTAGAAAAGAGATTTTTTTTTCTTTTCGTTTTTTTAAGAGTTCACATGAATAGCGGTGTTTCAACTTTTTTTCATTTAGTAAATTTCTCAATTCTCGGCTTTTGTTATGGCTTGCCGTTACCTTCAGTATATTCTCGTGCCGTGTTAATGCAAGCATTTATTTTATTTAACCATTGTGTGTGCTCATCTATGTTTAAACCTTTGAAATATTCTATCGTGTCAGTTCCCTATAAGAGTTTATTTGATTTCTTTTTTTCTTTTTTTAGAAACAGTGCAGAAATTTCCTATGAGAACATCCAAGCCAAACAGCATTAACAGTGAAACAACAGTAATAATAAAGAACCTCCCGTCAAAGTCTGTTGGCGGAAGTAATATTATATTATATTATTAATAATAGATTTATAATATGTGTGTATATGTGTAAATGACGTGTGTGTGTGTGTGTGTGTGTGTGTGTGTGTGTGTGTGTGTGTGTGTGTGTGTGTGTGTGTGTGTGTGTGTGTGTCCTGGAAAAAAAAAACAAAAAACTTTCTGTTGTGATGGAGTGCAGCTTCTTTGATATCAGTCCGTCACTAGTGCACAGTCATGTCTCTTTCCTTCGGTGTTTGTGTGTCAGTGAGCGTCTGTGTGCGGTAAATAGCCTAATCAAATTGTTGATAAGTGGAATATCTCAACTGTAGGGCTTCCTTTGCAATATGCAGCGCAGGTACTATAAGAAAACAGCTCTCCAAACCTTTTTGGGCTAATAAGGCACCTGTAACAATTCCTTGGCTTAGGCCAGCTGGCACGCATCCTGCTCCAGCTTCTTTAGCTTGATGAGAGAAAATAAACACTTGTAAGAAAAGATCTTTGAAAGTGTGTGGTTGGTCCTCAGTAAAATTAGCATGTTATTGAACATTTGATTGGGCCTGTCTCTATGGTGTGCATAAAAAAAAACCTATGAAGTGTATGGTTCCTATTCGGTAGCTGTTGTTGCCTAGTTGGCAATATTGCTGCATGCTAGTGCTACATTTGTCTCTACACAGCACGTGGAGGGTTAAATCTCATGCCTTAACAGACAATGCACTAAATAGAAATATGTAAGCAACTGCCGAGATCTCTTTCCAACAGTATCGCCACTCGTATGGCACAACGCAGCTCGTGATGTTCGTCGTCCGTTCAAGTTCCAAACACTGCCAAACTAACATCATCACTTTTTCCAACGAAAATGAAAAAAAAAAAACAGAAAAAAAAAAGAAAGGAAGGAAGAAAGAAAGGCAGAGACAGAGAGTCAAACTGTTTCGGTGTAGTGGGTGTGTTTCGGTGAGCTAACATTCCTTCATGGCACCTAAATTTCTACGTACGTGTTTTTATGTGAACACCTATATCAAATGCACTATTGACTGTAGCTAGATGAGTACAACCAGCCTTGTGGTATCATTGGTCTAAATAGTAGTAGCTTGGTGTTGGTTTTTGAGATGTTTGGTTTCACAATTACACTATGAGTTCTTTCTCGATCACTTATATTTAATTCTTTTTCTCATGTTGTTTTTGGAATAACAAAAGTAGCCAATCTTCATGTGACCTGGGTGAGGGCTAGAACTTGTCCCATCGGTGGCTGATTTCTTGTATCATAAGGTGTTTGATAGGAGACGAGGTTTGGAAGAGAAGGAACCTTTTTGCTCCAGTGTGTCATAATGTGCTATAGCATACGCCCCATTTCCCCTTCCCCTTGTTGCATTAGCATCACGTGTCCTTCACTGTCCATAGTTATATATTCCTTAGATTACTTCGGCTAATTGTGGTGGTGCTTAATTCTTCTCTCGGTTGCAAAAAAAAAAAAAAAAAGTTAAATTTTAGTGCCTTGCGAAAGTTGTCGTGCCCTTTGAACCTTTTCACATTTCCTCACATTACTACCACAAACTGCAACAAAATCTTCTGGGATTTTACAACAGACCAACAGATGGTAGTGCGTGACTGGGTAGTGAAGAAATAAATTATACATGGTTTTCAAATGGTTTCATAAATAAAAATCTGTGAGTGTTGTGTGTGTGTGTGTGTGTGTGTGTGTGTGTTAGGGATTGGTATTTATTGCATCTTTAATCATTTTAGAGACATTTTTTAACCATTATTTTGTCTTCGTAACGGAAAACTCTAATTGCAAACTCCAAAAACTGTTTTTTTTTTTAGCACTTTTGGTTCCTTGAGAGCGTCAATAAAAATCTGTTTATTTGAAAGTATGAATAAAAGTAATTATTGATACAGCTGCCTTAATTAATGCCGTAGCGTAAGAAAGTAGTCTGATAATGGGTAAGTTTTATTTTTAAGAGACATTTGTAGTAGTTTTCCTAGGAAATAGCAAACAGTAATGGTCGTAAAAGTAAAGGTAACATTGAAAATCAATATTTACATACTTTTTATTGTTATTTTTGTCATTGTCTCAAATTTAAGAGAAGAGTTTCTGTCCATATTGCCTATCCTTACATTCGGCTCCATTAAGTTGATGTTTTTGTTGAACAACTAGAGAATGAAATTTAGTGCAAACTTTGTTGCAAAATAGCTGAAAGCACTCATAGGATTACTCTCCATGGTTCACCTGCATGTGGACAATCCACTGACTCTCAGTTGGATTTAGGTTATGACTTTGACTGGTCCATTTTAAAACGCAAGTATGCTTTAATATAAGCAATTCGGTCAAAGCTTAAATTATGTTTTTACTCTCGTTGCCCTGCTGGAAGTTAACCTCGTTCCCAGTATTTTACAAACTGTATTTAACTCCATCCAGCCTTTTATCAAGCAGCATCCCCACAGCAAAATGCTGCCGCCATCATATGTCATGTAACATTTCCACACTGCTTTATAAAGCTCCACAAGTTAATCAGAGATGAATTGTGTGTTTTCCTTGTTCTTCATTAGTGTTCTGTAGAAACCTCTGGATTTGGCTGGATTTTTAAGGTGTCGCTGTAATGAACATGAGGGCGTGTGACATTTATTTTCTTCTGCTTCACAGTGCTACACTACCTTGTGTTGGCCTATCAAATAAAATTCCACGAAAAAAAAACAACATAAAAGTTTGTCAGTTTAATGTGTAAAAATCCATAAAGGTTAAAGGGTAATAAATACTTAGCAAGGCATTTTAAAGGTTGTTGCAACATTATCCTGAAATTTATTCCTCGTTTCCTCAATCGTGCTTCTTATAGTTGTAGGTCTAGACCTTTCTGTTCGCGACACGCTCGCATATTCTCCAGAACGATAAAAAAAAAGAAAAACATATTGAAAAATAGATGATAGCCTTGAGCCTGCAGCCGTTTGTGTTGTGTTTGAAATATATTCCTGTTTGTTTTGTTTATATTAGCGTAGAGACACAGGGTCTACAGTACATTGTTGTCCTTCTTGCAGTAGGTTTAAAATTTCACTGTTGAAGTTGATTATTTCAGAACTCTTCCTGCTTCTCTGGTGGTCATTGTGGTGTTGTTCATAGCATTTTTGCGTGGCTGAATTAAAGGAGTAGTCTGCTTTTTTTTTCTTTTTCCTACCGTGTACTTATATATCCATGTATGCTTCGCATTGAGGTGAGAAGATGGATCGTTTCAAGCGTAGAACAGGGTCATTTTAGTCTGAAAAGCATGGGTCCGTCTCTCAGTCTGTCTTCACACATTTTAAAGTCAGATTCTATTTTTATCCAGGCAAGTCACACAATTCAAAGTAGACTACAAGAAGCACCACTCACACAGTAATAAACTGCATTTTGTCCTTCCAGTGCATATAAGAGTAAAATGGTTACAAATATGCTATATATATTTTGAGTATCCATCTCCATGCAGAAAGAGAATACATTTTCAGATAGTTTGATTAAAAAACAAATCCTAACTGCAGCTAGAGTATTACTGTACTTTGTGGGATATAGGGAGTATGCCTAACAAGTGCCTACCAGAACATGCAGCAACTATACACAGAATATTCATAGTTTTTCTCTCCTGCGTTGCACAAATACAGTATATACGCTATTAAGAATATACTATTTATACTAGTACAGCTGAAAACCTAGTGCTTGTGAGTGCAGCAAATGAGAACCCTTTAAAAAAAAAAAAAAGAATACCTGAAATGTTTTATTCATATACAGTAAAAGCTACATCTGCGAGTTTTCGTTTCGTTCGTGTGTTACGTTCGTACCATCTGGAGGATTTGAAGATTTAAAACGCAGTCATGCTCGTTTAATTAAATAGTAGTAGGGTTTGATTTTAGCTCAGAAGCTCAGCTTGGTTATTTCTCTCTTTTGTACGGAAGGCTGTTTGAGTTTTTCTTCTTCTTCTTCTTCTTCTTCTTCTTCTTCTTCTTCAGTTTACATTTGCAAACAAGCCATATACTGGAATGTACTGTACGAGTGGGGAGAGCGGGCAGTGGTGCTATGTGAGCAGCAGGGGGAGACACGGGAGCTGGACGGAGGAACGTTTACACACCTGCCCGTCACAGCGACATAAAATCCAGGTTTAATCCCCGGATATTTCATATCTCCCTGTTGGTAAATAATGCCATTTTGCAAGATTATAACAGCGTCTACGAGCACAGCAGTCGCTGGTTAAACTCGTACTTTCTTGTTAATGAATGTGATGGTTTGCAGTCTGTTGGAGGTGGGAAGCTGCTTGTAGTCCTTAAGTTGGTTTCAAAGTCCAGAGCTTTGATAACAAGGCACCTACACATGCAAGCCAAAGCCCAATTTCCTCACAGGGATCCTTTAGGTTTTATTGTAACTTGCAGCCTTGTTTATGTGTAACTGGGAGCTATAAAGATCTAAGCAGTGAGCAGTGTAGATAATTTGTACTGTATGCTTGATTGGCACAATTTTAGAATTTGGAGACAGAATGGGAATTTTAAGGTTTTGGCTTCGGGTAAACACATTTTTGCGTGCACAGCAGCCTCTTAACTGGCTCCGACGAGCAACACGAAAACAAAACTGAAAGAAAAATAAACACAAATCAAGTTACAAAACTGAGCTTCTGCAAGATGAAAAGGTTTTGGGATGGCTTATTATTCTGTCCCCTGTGGACTAATTACCCGGTTTTCTCTCCAACCTTCTCCAACTTGGTTGTCATGCCAATTTCCGGAAGGGGTGCACTTTTAAATTGTACCATTATTCTTAAATTAGAAGTGAGAAACGGGAACAGAAGAAAAAATATAAAACAGATTTAAAATGAAAACTTTGTGTGGACCAAACGAGAAGCTCGTGATTGTTTCCATTTTAAATCTTTAAATCCTCCACAATGCGTCTTTTTGAAGTAAATAGGAGAAAACAGCTATGATTAAAGACATGGTTCATAATTTTTGAAGTGAACTTCGGTTGCAAATTAAACACGATATCACACCTGCATGAGACACGCATCCTGTGTGTCTTTGTTTAATAGAAATCCGGATTAGTTTTTCCTGAAGCTGAAGCTAACGGCTGGTCAGAGTGGACAAAAATAAAACTCCAATCTTAACAACATCATAATGGTTTATAAACCATTAATAACACTGGCAATGCCCTAACAATCTCTTCCTATGTAAACAGAGGTACATGAAATGCATCTGGTTTGAGTAACTGCCTGCTATTAAGGTAAATTTTAAAATAATTTTAAAAAAAATTATAGTGGCATAAGTGGATGCTATTTTATTCCTTTACTTTTTTGCCAGGCAGTTGCAGAAAACTAGATTTTGTATTTGTTTTTTGGTCTCAGTATGTGTTTTACAAAGGAAGAAACATTGCATCCTCCTCCCATTTTCCTTATAAATAACCGTTAATTTCTTTGAAAATAACCCCCCAGTCTGCAAACTTGATGACTCAATTATGATATATTTGAGCTTTAAGATAATAAAAGTCCCCTTTGGTCTTGGCCCTTCTTGGTCTAGCCGTAAAACTCAGCTTCCAGCTCCAGCTAATCCGGATTTATTGTAAACGAAGGCGCCAGTGGAGTTACTGCAGGTTAGATATTAACTGTTTGTTACCAGAGCATCACTCCAGCACTCTGAACTGTCCATTTAACCAGAGACACGCGTAGTTTCATAGCATATAGGCATATAGGCAATGTCATCTATCTAACCGTTACTTCTCAGAAACAGTGTCTGTTCAGGTTCTACAGATATCCAGATTCTGTTTTGACTTTAAGCTTTACAAACACAGTGAAACAGCAGATTATAAAGTATAAGACAGCGATACTAAGCTATAACAAAATCTACTTTCTATTCACTATATGAACATGCAGTTATTAGGCTACCCCTGTTTTCATCAGTCGTCGTCCTTCGATGACCGCGGTGGATCACCCCTCTCCTTTAGCAGAGCACAAACTCTTTTTTTCTTTTCTTCTTTTTTCACAGTGATTAGGGGACTCAGCTGTGTTTTAGCCTCTGAAGACTCGACTCTTAAGGCTTTTATTTTTTTTGTCTTTTCAGTCACTGTGGCCTTTTTATGGCTTAGTTCAGCCGGATGAGACAATTAAGTTTTGAAGTGTGCAGCAGCGTAACTAAACACATACATTCCTGTCTTCAGTCCAGCACATTCCAACTTCAAGTCTGGCATTTGTTTCCCACTCTTAAACCACCTGATATCAAATCAGTTCGTTTTAACGGCAAATCTGTTCCATACTCCCGAGAATATAGTTCAAATAACGCTTGAGTAAAATTTGCATTTCCCTTACTTTTTAAGAAAAAAAAAAAAAGAAAAAAAAACCTGATCCGTTATTCAAATTCTTCGTAAGATCTCATAACCTCTTAAGCTCTGAGCACAGCTTATTCTTGTGCGGACTGGTTTTATAGGCAGCACGCACTGTTCTATTGCTCTGTTTCTCTTGGATGTGTGCATCACGTTTTTATCGTGCAGACGCATGAGTTTTAAAACAAAAACAACCCAAAATACAAATGGAAAAGTCGAGATCCTTGACGCTGCTGCTGCTGTCTCAGCCAATTCGCCTGGCTTTGATTAGAGATTTCTAGCGCGATTCTGAAAGTTGTGGTAATTTGCAAATTATTAGGAGATACTTAAAAAAAAAACTGTACAAGTTTTTTGTTTTCACAAACCAAAGAAGGGTTAGGATAACTTCAGTTTTTGAAGAAATTCCTTTTTTCTTTTTTTTTTTTATGTGAGTAGGGTTCCTGCAATCAAACTCGATTGCTTAAGTTTTCTTTTTTTGTTTTCTTATAGATTTTGGCAGGATGCTTGTGAAACTGCGTGTACGCTTTGTCACTTGATTGGTTGTTTATAGTTTTGTGGATTGTGTTAATTGCCTATCGTAGACCAAAATAGACTATCCTTTTTTTTGTTTGTTTGTTTGTTTGTTTGTTTTAAATGAGAAATGCAACAAAACATAAAAATGAATCCGACACAGTAGCTGTGATGTAAACTTATGGCATGTTGAAACATGTATCAGATTGTAAATGTTGCATTGTTGCTCGGGCAAAACGTGATATTCAATAACGTGTTGGTTTTCTTCACACACACACACACACACACACACACATTTTGCAAACTATTGTACACTTCTTTTCTTCTCCATCATATGGGATTACTTCAGATTACTTTGTCCGATTGTTTTTTTTTTTTATGTATTTCTGTGTTTTTGTAATAGAATTTTTTTAATAAGGCTGTCCCTAAAATACTAATCTGACAATGTGGATTAGAATAGATTCAACCATTTATACTTGAGATGGACCAAGATGTTAATTTTGCACATATTTGTAGGTTGTTTTTTTTAAGCCAAAAAAAAAGAAGAAGTAATCATTCACATCTTTCAATCTGAGCAGTTCAAAAAACTCAAATTTAGTCAAGGTTAAAAAGAAATCATCACCTGACAATATGTGAACAAAAAAAAAAAAAACTACACTGAAACCAAATTAAGCGATGGATTTATCCATCACAATGCAATCCAAATATGTGATGAGATACCATTTTTTTTATAACCAATTTTTTATAATAAAAAAAAAAATAACACATGTCGTCTGTGAGATGAATGTAAAAACATTTGGGGAATTTCGGTATTTGACCACAGACTATAATTCATCACTGTAAAAGTCTGCTGTATGCTTCCTTATCCTGTGGTTTCAAAATAGGAAAATTCAATTATCGTACTTCATTTCGTGTTGTACATCTGGGCCGAAGATTTCAACAACGACAAAAAAAACACACTTATAAACCCTAAATTTCATGTTCCCAAATAACAAAACAACAACAACAAAAGCAGCTTAAATTGATTTTCTTTTCACTTTTTTATGAGGCTTTCTGCTGCCATATCATGTATGTAGATGCTTTTGTAAACATGCACTTAAGTTAAACTATGAGATGTGCATTGAAATATATGTATATTTTGTTTAGGCTCTTTTTTTTTCTTCTTCTTTTTTAGCGTGATATATCATTATTTCCCTACAAATTATTTCTCGGATACAATTCTGAACTTGGCAGAAGTGGAGCTGTTGTAGTAAAGGTAGTTTTAACATCAAAACTAAGCAACCCTGAAATATATGCTGCAGTAATGTGTTTTCACTTTGTCTTTTTTTTTTTTTTGATAATTTATGCTCCAAGTTGGTCTGTATTTTAATATTATTATATTATTATTATTGATGTTATGAAAAAAAGCTTGTTTGAAATGTGTTGACTGCTGTTTTGAAATAGGAGATTTTTTTTTTTTTTTTTTTTTTTTTTTAAATGTTTTTTTAAAGGTAGTTTTTATTAAATTTGGTAAAAGCTGGACCTGGG